TAATGCGTCGATGATATGTTTTGTCAGTATTTATTCGAGTATGCTTTAACGCTACAGTAATATAGTAATATACAAGGACAATATTTCGACCAGTCTGTCTCTTTTCCCGGCATATTGATTAGGTCATGTGCTTAAATCCCGCTACCTCATTGGACTGTGACTGTGACTGGTTTAATTTTACATGTTGCAATTTATCTGAACTGTGGCATAAATTGTATACTTTTTAATTGGCTTATTGGAGACCTGGGTACATCAGAGGAACATTTTTTATTGAGTTAAATTTGTTGTTTACCTTACTGTATCTTGGGGTTGCCACATAGAGACAATCTATTTTCTGAGATTTGAGATATGATTGGATAGACTTCACTATAACGCCAACATTGTCCAGTTGATTATCCAATTCATGTCGAAGATTGTTGTTACAGAGCTTAGGTCTACAGCTGCAATAAAACAATTATGAAAGAACGAATGAATGAATACATGGTAAATAAATGAAGGAATGAATGAATAAATGGATAGTATTTTGTTCCACACATACATGTTAAATTCGTTGTCACTGTCCATTATTCTAAAATATACAATGTACATTCTTGAGTGGAGGAAAAGGGATTTTGTAAGTTTAGATAAATGTACAATTGGATTATATTGCCAAACATAATAATAACGTACCTTCTAGAGCAAATCAGAGAATACATACTTTCCACGTTCAGGTGAAGTCGGAAAACTGAGACTTATAGAATCATATACTGGTCCGACTATACCTATATCTCGGACAAGACTAGTATTTATTTGTTTCGTGGTCAATTTTTCTGTCATACATTTTCAAACCACGTTAAAACGTCAGCCATACATGATAAATCATGTCGCAAATAGGCGTGTGTATTTGTATCGCAATCCGATTAATGATACCCGAATGATGGACGTTTTTTTTCTAAATATTATTATTATTAGTCACGGTACAAACCTGCCCAACTATGGTAACTAAGAGAAATACACACGCCATCGTGTATCTAATATTTATACAATTACGACAACAGAAATTTTGCAATATACATATGGTCAGAAATCCAGATTACAATACATTAATTTTGAACATCGGTGAAGGTAATATTTTAATTCACAGTAACAATACGCAATGGAAATTGAATTCCGACCCCAGGGATATTACCATAATGCAAGAATGTTCATTATGCATTGTTAAAATACCCTATGCGTGAGCCTGTATTCAAGAGGTTTGGCGCATATCTGTAAAATTAGATAATTGTATACAACTAACCATATCACATGTTATTAACCTGTTTTCATGCATTTCTGGAACATGAAATATTTAAATATATCGTTATTTTATTATTATTATTATTATTATTATTATTATTATTATTATTATTATTATTATTATTATTATTATTATAAACAAATTGAATACCTGTTGAACTCCGATTTAAACTACGATGAATTATGACTATTAAAATCAATGATTTGTTATAAATAGATTTTAGTTTCTGTGATACCATTTAAAACACAATGAAAGAGACATTTAATTTTTGTTTTTAATTCTCAATGGTTAGCCATCGATTTCCGTACCACTCATTAAACGATTCCCAGCTTATACTTAGCGGCGCGTCGGTCACGGGTGCTCGTGCTCACTTGATTAGACACTAGAACAGTCGCCGACTACCGCAACGACTACGTCATAAATTTAATATTAAATAGACGAATATATAATATTATTACATATTATGAAACTGTCTGAGTTGCCACACGATGTTGCCCAAGGATTTTTTCCCTGGCATTTCCGATTGTGAAATACAAACATTTGTTTAGTCTAAAATCGAGTACCAAGAAAACGATTCTATTAAAGTTCGGAAGTTTCCACAACGACTCAAATTGCGCAGGCCAAATGCCGAATTAATATCTGCCTTGGAGAATAACGATGAGGCAAAGTGCCGCTTGTTATACCACTGACTCTATGTTGTGAAGTCATGCGAGGGCGGCTATGTACAAGCAACCTCTGACCAACGTACGTAGCTTTAAGCGAAATTATATAGACGCTTATTTTCATGTTATAATATAGCAATTTTTAAAACGTAGTAAATAAGCATTCATAAATCAACTAAATAAGTACTGTATTGTCATTATACAAAATATTGTCTACATGACCTTAGTTAGTACCTTTTTATTACCTTGCTTCGTAGAGTTGGCCATTTATACTTTTGTTAAATAGAGCATTTAAAGAGCTATATTATCTGGTTATGCACCGTTATGACATTTTATAAGCAAACTTAATGTAAACCTATGAAATATAGATTATTATTAGTTCGGAGGGAGATGTGTTACCATAGTAACGTCACGTACGCACGCTTGGTTCTCATGGCGTTGAAGTAGTAATTAGAATGAACAACTGGCATGCTTAATGTAATATATTATAAACAGGAATTTTATAAATACGTTGTTTATTAATTCCCAAATATCGTTTGGCGGTATACAATGTACAAGCGCCTGAAAGCATTCGTACATTATATTGTGTTTGACCAAGGGCACGGACGAAAATACCCGAATTGTACTCGCCATTGCATGGGTGCTCGCTTAGAAAATAAACTACAGTGATGGGAAAATGTCTGAGATTACGTAAACTCGAATTCAATAGTTATTGTCTGTGTGTTGATCAGAGAACATATATCACGAATAAGTGTACATGGTATGCATATGTTTCCAGTGAAGTGCCGAGAAACGTCCTCCTTCAAAACTACGCATGCTCAAAAGATTTACCACGTGACTGTCATTAGCCCGCCCAGTAACTAAGAATGTCAACGCAGTGTGATTTCCTTAAATGAACATCTACTGACCGAACTTTACAGCGCGGACACAAATTATTATTAATGTTAAAAACATGTTTATTGCAATTACCAGGTTATGTAGTACAATAACGTTGAATATAAGTATGACTGACGTAATCACAAGATCCTTGTAGGCGAGTGAAACAGATCAAAAGTGAACAATTTGTACAAACGATAACGACAATTTCAACTGCGTTATTTCGCTGTAATTTTCTGTGATTTGTTATATATTACTTTCACGACAAAATGAAGGAGACATTTATTTTTTTTATTTAAGATATGTTTAGCCATCGATGTATCGCTCATAGAAAGAGTCCCAGCTCAAGCTTGTTACTTAGCGGCACGTCATTCACGGGAGCTCGCGCCCACTTCCGGTCGGACATTGAAGCAGTCACCGACGCCTCCAACGACTACTTCATAAATTTAGTACCGAAATTGTTAATAATTTACAACTTTTTAATTTGTAATTATCCATTTACATCCCGTCAGTTTAGTTTTTAAGTGCCCAGTCTATTATTAATCTGAGCTGCAGTTTATTAGTCGAACGCATTATGGCGAATAATCAGCAGTCATGCTGAATTCATTCACTTTTATTGATGGTATTATAAAATGATATCCTAACAATAACTGCTTACGGGGACAGTGTCATATCTTACATTTCTACGACACCAGCCAGTACTTATTAATAAGCTTACCCTTCTCCAGATTTATTTCTCCAATGCACAACAGCAAATCTCCCGTCACATAAATACGTCACAGCCTCGTCCGCCAGTCTCTTTACGTATGGAGCTCTTGTTAAAGCTGTCTCCTCGTTATCGGTGTAGCCTTCGATGTCGCCGAAATTTGATTTTATTCCCGGGAAGTACACGACACACTTTGAGTCGTATGAGTCTTTAAACCAACTTATTTCCGTATGGTTTGTAAATGATACGTTATGTAAGTGTATTCCCGTCGTCTGTTGGAACTCTTGAATCATACGGTTATCTTTAAAGAATGTGTAATTTCTGTAGAATCGCTGCACTTTGTAGTGGTATTTATCTACCAGGTGTGTGGTGTTGGTCAATGGAGGAATTACAACTTGCGGGATTGTCACGTTCTCATTGCATTGTGTATTGTATTCGTCTAGTGTACTGGTGTTTATTACATTTCGGAGTCTGCCAATATCAAATGTTTCTTCACCCTGTCTTTTTACGGGATACCTGGACTGTGTTATATGATTATAGAAGTGTGGTATAACAAGACATCGGTTTTGCAGGCGAGCAAAAAACAGAGTTCGACGAAATGCGTTGTATACCGCATTTGGTCCAGTAAACATGACCAATGGCATTACATATCGCTTGCACAAAGCAGTCGTGTTTGAATATTCTGTCTTGTTTGTATGCTTTCTCTCGGCATGGTCCGTTACTGGTAGTTCGTATGATACGAAGTGGTGAGCATCGTGTCCAACTGAGCCATGCGTCGTGTTATTGTGTCTTCTCCCAGTTGGAGCTGAGCTGTAGTTCTCTTCTAGAATCTAAGATCACCAAAACATAAACAGTGTTATATTTGTGTAATTATCGAATGTTTGACTGATTAACTATGTTTATATTACAGTAAACCAATCTTCCCCAACATGGATGAATTAAAAGTAGAGCATGTGGCGAAGTTCTGGTATTTTCCACGAAACGTAACGCTATGCTAAAAGCTAGTATCTTGTTTCATACAAACGTGTTTTCCTCAAAACTAAAATTTTAGTAGTACAATCTATAAAAAAAGGTTCTAAACAATGTCCATAGCCGTTTTAATTGTTGAATTGTTCACAGTAAATCCATCTTAATTACAACCACTTAAACAAAAAGAGTTGCATAAATATCCCACAAATGTGCCCTTTTGTGTAAAAATGCATAAATGTGTTTAGCTTACTAAGGCTTACTGATTGTACCTGATTCTACTTAGTAGTCGTGGAAACATAGCCCTTTCTTATGTAGGTCTTGAGTTTTTTTGATGGTATTTTAGTCATTTCATATATTGTGTGGTATTAATTTGTTATTTTCAGCCATTAGGATTGTTATTGACACAGCTATGGTTCGTGCGACGCCAAGTGGCATCGCAACAAAGGTCGACAAAAGCAGATTATTTTCCCGGGCCACACCATCGTAACTATCGCCAATCGATGATATGTTTATTTAACACTCACCAAAGCTAAAACTGTGACAAAAATTTGTGCGATGTTCTTTTCTCGGAATTAAGTGCTCCGAACCACAGCAGCCATATTTTTTTACGCCGAACGAGGACAATATGACGTCACTTTACAAAGCCTGCACTAAATTTAAAGTGATTTATCTACTTGACAAC